GACATGCCATATCAAAAAATCGAATAGACTCAAGCTTACCAATCAGCAGTTGAACATTGACGAGATCAAAAGCCTTGGTAAAGTCTACAGACACCAGAAAAGTCACCTGTCATCCATCGATCACCAGTTTCAAGTCATTAACAATCTCGACCAGTGCAGTACTAGTGCTCTGTTTTTTACGGAACTCTGACTGAAATGGATGGAACAGAGAATAATCCTCAACAAAAGAGAGCATTTGCCTGTATGCCAATGTCTCGAGGAGCTTGCACAATGCACACAAGATACTGATGCGAAGAAATGAGTCAGACGTTGTCGCTGGCTGTCGCTTAGGTATTAGGATTATTATGGCCCTCTTCCAAGCTGCAGGGAAATGACCAGTCTGCAGTGAAGCATTGAAATTATCTAATAAATTAGGAAATATTATAGGCATGCTTTGTTTAATAATCTTTAGAGACAGGCCATCAGGAACAGTTGCGTTAGAATGAGATGAGGCAATAGCCTCGACCAATTCACTAAAGTCCACAAACTTGAAATAGAACCTGTTGTCAGGCGAGATGCGTGCAGTTGGTTGCAGATCATGCAGTGGATCAGGGTCATCGGTACCAACAAAGTACTCATTCATGTCAGTTGGTTATACCGGAAGCTGCTGACAGGTTCTCGAATTACGTATCAGTTCTAACCTGTCAATTACTTGCCATGTCCCTATTGTGCTGCGATATTCCTGCAGTTTATTGCGATAGTAGAGATGCTTGGCATTAAGAATTGTCAGTTTGACCATATTGCGCAGACGTTTATACTCATCTCTCGCAGCCCGGTCACGACTTCTCCTGAACGAGCACCAGGCCGCATTGTGAACCCGAATAAGGCCCAGAATATTCTCATTAATCTTGGGACTTGGTTTACTTTTAATCCTTATGTCATGGTAGGGAGCATGTTTATCAAGTATTGATAGTAAAATCGAGGAAAACCGCTTAACCTTAGTATTGATGCAAGGCGATTCCAAAACCAAACTCCAATCAACGCAAGTCAGATTCTCAAGCAAAAGAGTCTTCGTTGAAGTATTGGAAACATTGCTTCATTCGTATATTATTTTTGGGAGACGTCACTGGTGCCATAAACTCCGAAAACAGCGTGTCATGTCGGGATATCCAGAGATAGCTATGCTGTCTGTAAACATCAACATCATGCGAGCAGCTGGTACATATATAGTCAATCATAGTCCTAAAAGTACCTATATGATGTGAAAATCTGAAGGGAATACGGTCGAGATCAAGTGATTGCAGAGATCGGCGGAGTATTCTTAGATTGGTGTAGTCTGCAGCCCAGTCTATATTAAAGTCACCCATTAAAATCAGATGGTCAGATGGAGTTTTAAAGTTCATAATTGCCTCCTCCATATCCTCCCAATATCCAGCTTGGGGTGACTATAAATAATAATACATAGTATGCGGGTAGAATTTAGCATAATTTCAGTTAGCAAGAACTCAGGATATATACCACCCGATGCCCGTTGTTGTGAAACACCAAGGACTCTGCATCTGGATGGCTGACGAACATACAAGGCAACCCCTCCACTATCTCTACCACATCTGTCATTCCTCAAAAGTGTGTATCCATCTACGTACACCTGGTGATCACTGACGTTATGTTTTAAGAAGGTTTCGCCAATACCAAAAATATCAGCCCTGTTATTAACAATGATTGTCCTTATGTCATGAAAATGTGCCAAAAGCGATTGAACATTTGTGGGACCAATGACTAGATTGTGCCTAATATTATTATGGTCCTTATTCTCCATAATTTATGCTCCATGACTTGCGTTTAATCTTAGCACGTGAAATGGCACACAAAGACATATCAAAAGCTGAAGGCAAAACATTATCTAGTTTACTATGACAGCAATTAATGCATTTGAGTTGAGTTTTGGATTTACAACGCTTTGACTCGCGGGGGCCAGCACAAAAACTGCATGCTGCGGCAGCATTACAGTTGCTAGCCATGTGTCCAAAGTTCTGGCATTTATAGCACTGCAGTATACTTATGTGGTCCACAAAGCGATACTGAAGCCATCCTAAGTAAATGCGAATCTGCTGGAACAATACCAATCATGCGGTATATATCATTTGCTTATATTTCATTTCACTTGCTGAGTATATGTACACCATGGTAACGTCAGTAGGTGCACAGTCAGATAGGTTTTGCTGTGCAATAGCCTCAAGTGTTTTTTCTTGGAAAGGCTGACTGGTATGTAGTGAACAATTATCTGTGGCAATAGTTTACTTTTTTTTTACCTCAAGCCCAACATCCCGTAAATCAGGGTAGTCAGTAAGAGCACCAAGTCTATCACTTTCAATCATCACATTTTTCTTAGATGGCATATTAACCCATTTGACTCGAATACCAAGGTTAGAGACCTACACCTTATCCAGTACCGCACTTTTCATTGCCTTAGCTGAATCAAATCTCTCGAAGGAGTTCTCACATGACTCAATAATAACTCGAGCTATTTTGCTAATCAGTATGATTTTACCCTTAATTAGGATAAGCTTGCGGCCACTAAATCTGCCACCCGAAACAGCCTGTGCAAAAGAAGGCATAGAGGGATCTCACATTCGAGCGGTCGACTGCACGCTTTTATTTACTTCAGACAACTTGGAAACGTAAGCAAGCGAAATAGTGCTAATTGCATCACAGAAGCCGTTGGCAGCATCAAAAATAGCTTGTATGCGAGAGGACACCTTTTTATTTTTATACGCTGTAAAGAGTGACTTTCGTCAACATCCTCACGGGATAAATGACTATGCCTCAGCCCCGGGGTGGGGTCTTGAGCTTCAGGGGAGCAGTCCTCCTCGCTGATCTCGCCCATAACACAGCCACATTAAACCGTCACAACAATGCAGCAGACGACACGGCCCCAGCAGTAGGTATGCGCAGCCACTCGGAAGACCAGCTCAAATGGCCGCCGAGAGACGAGAAACAACCTCGGAAGCACTTTAGAAGCAAATTGACAGCTAAGTCGAATTCGCATGACACTGCTAACACTCGTACAGATGACTTGCAGTAGAGCGCATGCAAAAAACCTGCAACAAAGCGCCCGCAGGCAAAACAGAGCAGATACACAATCCAATAATGGGGAGCCAAAAAAAATCACGACCGTTTAACAGCTCACTAAGAGAGAGAAAGGAGACTGGGGGGAGGTTTGGCTGCTAACAATTGTTGCGGTGTGTTGGTGGCAGGCTCCGTGTATAGGCCTGATGGCCCAGTTAGACCAAAATTTATGTTCCTTAAGCTCAATATTTGCAACCTTTGGTGGCTCTTAGGTGTAGTATACAAACCCCCAAAGAGCAGATACTGGTCTGATGTTGAGGAGGCGCTGCAAAATTGTGGCCACACTTTCAACGTTTTCTTGTTGATGGGTGACTATTACATCGACGAGGCTGCGAGTTCTACGCCACGACTACGCCAATTTCTTCGACGCATGCGGCCTGCATTCCCTGCCCTTGTGCCCAACGCATCACACGTAGTCCTTGTACTCCACCATCGATTATATCTGCGTTAGTAATGCAACCAGGGTCACCGCGTTCGAGCTGCTTTAAGTGCCGGCAATATCTCGGCATGACGTTTTGCTGGGGAGACTTTATCTCCGGGTGCCTGCGCCAATGGCAAGGATCTTACGATGCCGTGACTTCTCCTCGTTTGACGAGGCAAGCTTTGGGAGCAATTTGTTGACTCTGCAACGAAATCCTCTGTATGCTCTGGGCACAGTTGATGGGAAGATCAAGTACCTCACCGATGTGCTTACTGAGCTCTACGACCACCATGCCCCTTTCAAGGCGTTTAGGTGCATAGGCCGAGCAACGCCGTGATTTCGCCCTGAACTCAAAACTCTGATTTTAAGGCGTAACAGAGCATGAGCAGCCTATAGATGCACTGGCCGTCATGAGCATTACTTTGAGTTTAAGCAGCTTCGTAATCTTGTAAGGATTAGAGTGAGAAGTGCCAAGTGCTTCTATTATCGTGAGCGACTCTCCAGCTGCAGAGATGCTAAAGAGCTCTGGCGTTGCGTGGATGAGCTGAGCGTGCGCGGTGGATCAAGTAGGGCTGATGGATCCGAGATGGATGTTGAGGCGTTGAGTGCGCACTTTGCTGATGACCTGGGAGTCGCAGCGCCTCCGCACTTGGTACCATTTCCGCTGGCTGATCTCCTAACTCTTCTATCAACCTGCTGGTGGACTTGAATCCTTGAGGCATTCTAATTTAGACCTTCTTATTTCCCACACAAGAACCGAGTGTTAAAATCACTCGTTTATACATTATGCCTCTAGAATATGGAATAACTTGCCTGTGGCAATCAGGAAGCTGGCCAATGCTCCCCACTTCAGGACTTGTCTTCGAGAGCACCTCTTTCGCGGTGACTCGGCTGAGTAGCTGCCCTAACAGCTAATGACAACTGTACATATGCTTCAAGGAATTTTATCCGGGACTAATGACCCTATCATTATTTGTCGTTATGGGGAATAACATTCTCTGGTTGATGTGATTCATGGTTATTTATGGAATGTGTAAGTTTTTAAGTGTCTTTTGACTCTAGTGTGTTATATTTAATGTGCCTTTTAAAGCTATAATTTTTACTTTTAATTATGTAGTAGTCTATCTTTGTTGACTAATAACTCAAATTGTTTCCGGTATTTTTATTCTTTTTTATTTATAATACTCAACCCAACTTTTAGTGTTTTATGATTTTTTTATTACATTAGTGTTGTTATTATAGATAATAATATATTTATTTATTATTTTTTATTCTCTCTTTGTTTTATATCTTTTATTTGAGCGTTGCCAATAATAGCTATTTTATACTTTTAACACTTGTACCACAATGTATTTGCTGTAACTTATCTTGTTAAGCACTGTACAGATCCCTGGAGTCCTTGGTGCCAAATAAAAACTTACTTACAGATTCAATTGCAGCATGTAACGATTGCAAGAATCGATCCATTGGTATGAAGTCTGCTGATGTAACAGCTGACAATCAAGCTCAAGTCTTACAAAAATTTACGATTAATGATAAAACGACAAAAAGGGCAAAATTCAAAGTTAATAATAAAGTGTACGTGAATAAAGCTAAAAATGCCTTTGAAAAAGGCTACACGCCAACCGAAATATTTACAGTTTATAAAGCATTAAAAACTCATTCAGTTACTTATTATTTAAAAGATTATAAGGATCAGCTGATCTCTGATGGATTTTACGAACAAGAGCTTCTAAAATCCAAGTATCCAGACATATTTCTAGTGGAGAAAGTTATGAAAAAACGTATTAATATGCTTTATGTTAAATGGCTGGGATTCGATAAATCACATAACAGTTGGATTGACAAGTCAGATGTTTAAGAAAGAGAGAAAGTGGAGGGGGCCCCGTAAAGCGCCCAATCCTGTGATGGACAGCCTTATATGCATTTCCACCAGCATTAAACTTTCTCTTTTATTTATTCACAATGTTCCAAATTTAAACTTAGTATCACCATGATATACAATAAATGAAGCATATTTTTAAATTTTTTTTCTCAACTCATTGTACAAATCATCGTTGGCTTCTATTGCTTTTGGAACACGATCTGGAATGAAGACTTAAAATTCATCATCTATGATGATGACTACTCCGCATCCAAAGCGGGTATTGACCTTCTAAGGCTTGGTCACAATGTCTTTCCGCTCCTTCTCCAGCTGGCGGGGAGGTAGTTATTGTTGGCGGTACGGTTCAATGCAGCAAAGACCGTTTTACTGAAACAGAAAAAAGAAATACTAGTATACAGCATATAAGGCTGAAAAGTAGGAATTTACCTCAAAGAATTCTTGCTTTCTTGCTTGGAGGTGTATACTCCCAGGGAGTGAGTAAGCTCTCTAGCTCGTCAAGCGACAGAATGAGCTCAGCTAGAGGATGCAGCTCTATTTATAGTTTTTCTCCCTCCTCCTCCATTTCTTCCCCCTCCACTTCTTTTCCTCCCTCATTACCTAGATGGACGAGCATATCTAGTAGCTGAAGATCTTCATCGTCCAGAGTGATGTAGCCCCATGGTAGCGTATCTGTGCTGTCCCGGAGTAACTGACATTTGTCATCTTGTGGACTGAGAGCTATTTTTCGCTGTTGCTCTGTACGGACAATGTGTAGCCTGGAGCGGATATTGTTTTGCTGATGCATGACTGTAGACTTATTAAAGAGACAGTTCTAGTAGTCTTCGAAGCCAATTTTGGTCTTTACTGCAGCTGTTTTGACATTCTTCGCCTTCTTAATAAGCTTCTTGTTTTGCACGCAAATGCAATACATCTTACTACGCAGCCCAATGAATTCAATTATAATGTTGCCACAACACTCATCCTTCATAAACCCTATGACTCTTTTATTCACGAGAGGCAGATTAAATTGATTATTTGATAAATAGTCTGATGTGTCTAATTTATCTATGTCTTACTTCATAAATTCACAAATATTTTGACCAGAAATTTTATATATCAAGCTGTCGGTGTCGGTGTATAGCAACTTACATCTATCGAAACATTTCTTTATGTATGAATAATGAAAATTATATCTGAGGGTCTTCGATATGTCTAATACCCTCAGACCAACATATATTGGTTTTCTAACGCTAATTTCTGTACGTGCAAGCTGTATAGCTACAAGATTTTCCGCAAAAATCGAGCTACTATGAAAGTTTGGTCGGGCTATAAGTGTTTCTGCACTGTAGCGTCCTTCCTACTTATTAACGAGTTTAACATCTACTCGCTTTCGCTTGTTTTCCATGGTCTTACCATACACAGCATTGATCATGAGTTTGAAGAAGAGCTTTTCAAACTTATTTTTACTCTGCTTCCTCTTCTCCATATTGAGATCAACGTATGGTTTGAGCCACGGACTTTCTTTAAAACGCAAGACTCTATAAATTTTCTTTAGCACTAGTCCATGTGCAAGAGCCTGCTTCAATGCCTTATGATGTATGACACATCACTCTTTATCATACAATGTCGTCATGAGCTTTTGCTGCTTGGAGCGAGATGGAGCCATATGTTGCGGACAGAGAGGTTAATCCTTGAGTTCATCGTAAATAGCTACTGGATATTCCAGATCTACTTCAAGTATGTGGCCATATCCATCATCATCTGGTACATCGAGGAAGTTTGACTTTATGTCAACCCAGTGGAAGTTTCCTTTTGGCAACGGCTGCGTCATTGCTCATCCATACAAGTTGTTTGTATCAAAGTAAGTTTGTATCAAGGTATTTGTCTTCGACTTCTGGACTATAATTCCTCATGTACTTATTGTTGGCTTTGGCGTAGCGGTTACAGCACTGGCTCACACCTCCTCTGATGCTTTTTTCCTCAAACAAAAGCATATCTATATCTGTGAGCTGCTCTAATTTGACTTGGGTGAGTTTGAGCATGGCGTCTCACGTTAGACCAGGTGTGGTGTAGTAATGTGCAGGATCTAATGCATATGCTGCCAAGCATGTGAAGCAAAAGTTCTCAAGGACATCTGCTTACAGCAAAACGTCGGTCTTCAAGTACAGATCAGAGTATTCTTCGAGCATTTGAGTCTGGAATGTTCACCATACATTCTGCGCATGCTCATAGTCTGCATCGGAAATTTCACTATCGTTCAACTTGCTGTGAAATACAGCTTTAGACGGTAGCTCTTTTTCTCTTAGCTTCTCCAAAGAACTAACATAATCGTAAGGAAATACACCCTTTCTCAGCAAAAGTTTCATCTGCTCCTCACTACATACACATTGGAACTAACTGCTAGTAATGTCACTCTTATCCAGGTATGGCGCAAATTTTCCCAAGGAGGAGGGTATGGATCGAAGTGAATCAATGAATCGGAAATTTATATCACTGCCCTTTATGTGCTTCGTGAATGAAATGTATTTCTCCTTGTTCTCAGCTATAAGATTGATACCTCCCTCGAAGTTTTCACTGGTGGCCAACTTTTTGATGATAAAGTATGAGTCGTAGCCTCCACGACAGGTGAGGTTAATAATGGTGGAGATTGAGACAGCTCCCTTAGAAAGGGCAAGTCAAGAAACTCCTCCTCCCAAAGAAAAATCTCCCAATCTTCCACAACGGTCTGGAACATTTGACCTTCGAAAATGATTGTCACATCATCATCATTAAAATTTTCTTTACTTTCAATTACTCTAAAATTGTTAAATTTTCCATTAAAATCAAATAAGTTAAAATTCAGAACAGAAAAGTAAGGTATACTGTTACGGGGTACGGACAAAGTGAAATTACGAGGCGGAAACTTCGACCTCTATCGGGCCTGTGTTGCCCGGATACCCGTGGTGAAGCTCTCTGTAATATGTTTGTGCTGGTCTCGTTCGTCTAGGCACAACAGAGGCCAAGTATCGCGGCGACCTTGAATGTCGTCGCCTCTCGCAATGACTTTAATACAACACAAGGGAAAGTGGCACACACTTACAAATAAGTACTAACGAGTATTTTATAGAAAGTGGGATGTATTAAAAATAATATAAAAAATAAATACAAAAGTAATCGCGAGTGTGTGTATGTATGTGTGTGTGCACGCTCGTCGAGGGCGAATACTTGACGAGCTTGCGGCGCAAAATCGCAAACTGGGCAGACCTACGTGGACTATTCGAGGGCCGCTGCCTTTTACAACATGCCGTTACCTGGGGACCAGTACTCACAGTCACAGGCGGTGACCATTCTCCTGGATTTGAAAAGCAAAGGAAACCACTACAGCAAAAACACCATCGCAACAATCAAACGAAACAAGAACTTCAAAAATCGCTTCTCGCGTAAACCAACAATTTCGCTTCCGTGCGCTGTAAAAACCCAAGATAATCTGCCGCTCTCTTGGCTTTTCCCTAATTCCCCCTCCTTTCCCTTACCCCTCGCATACCTAGTCCATTTAACTCTTTTTCCTACTTCCCTACCTGACCTAGCCTACCTATGTAGCCTAACAGTAAAACACCGTTACAATACATACATGATTTTCAATAGCAAGCGTAAATAATTAAAACTTACGAGAACGACTTGCTCTTGACAAAGTAAAGTGAGGAATGATGGTCCTAGCGGATTCCATGGGCCTTTTATACACGTTGAGAGGTGGTGGGAGACAACCAAAAAGAGTCAGAGACTACTAGAGGATGGGGGTAGTTTTTTGGTGAAGTGAGGTGTAAGTGGGGAGTGAAAGGATATAAGGAGTTGGAAAGGAGGCGAAGAGCTCAGTCGACAGCAAGTTGGCTGAGCGGTTAGACCTACCAGTCCAAGTCTTGAGTCGTGTGCGTCGCGCGCGAGACAATAACTGAACCCTCCATCTTTTTTACTATTACCCTATGTAGGTGGTAGGGATAATGATTAGGGGGGAGGGGCGTTAGAAAAGTGGAGAAGGAATTAATATAAGGAGCTTGCTGAAGCTGGCGAGCTCAGTTGACAACAAGCTAGTCAAGAGATCAGACCTATATAATCATGGACTATATCGTTGACATTCAGGGCTTTAGAAGGTCCATAAATATTCTTATTCCAAAAGAGCTGGTTATTTTACAACTTAAGGCTGATGCTCAGCCAGAAATTTTTCACTTTAGCCCCCCATGTAAATTGTTCAAGCTTTTACATTAAGAACGCACTGTTAATGCTTGGCTTGAAAAATACTTTCATGAGATACCTTGGGACTCAGGAATTACATCTTTCTCTTGAGTTACTTTTATTTTTTAGTATTTTCTAAATTTTAAAATTGTATATTTACAATGCACAGGGAGAATATGCTGCTGCTTAGGGAGAGCTTTCTGCTGCACAGGGAGAGCTTGAGTCTGTTGGATAAAGTGTATGATTTCTGATGATGAGTTTGTAAAAAATCTCTTTGAATAATTGGACAAATAATATCGACCTTTTGAAGCATGTAGTATTAAATCCCATTAGAGATAATTAGAGACTGCTTCTCATTGAACATAACCTCATTGGGATCTTTTGAAAATGTCACACTTAGGTGTTGTTGATCAAAAAGACTTTCATGGTCCTTTTGTATATAAACTTCTAGCAAAGTGTTAAAAGTATTAGTGGGCAGCTCTTTGTACTTGGATTTATTGTCAGCCCACCACTCATTTTCAAGATGACTTTCAAGAGGAGATTCGTTTAACATCCAAAAATTAAAAAAATCTAAATTATTTGATGTCAAGTTTTGCCTGTATTCATTATATTAAGTTGGTGAAACAGCTTCATCAGATAATGGTAACATAGCAGCACTTAATGCTGAATACAGCTGCTTTTGAGATGAAGAGTTAGAAGATGATAATGATGACGACAGCTTTAAATCATCCTCTAGAAAGCCAAGAGCAATAGGATGAGACAAACTTGACACTACCACACTAGCAGAC